GCTTGCTACATCAGCCGAGTCCTCTCGTGGGGACTTAACCTGCTATCTATCTTCAGAGAAAACTCTCATTCCTCTTGTTCCTCAATGTTCTGTTTCTCTTATTTTGCTTTTTCCTTCAAGGACCTCATCCTTTCCATGGGGTCATGGATCTCCTCTCTGCTACCAGCTCTCTACTTCATAGTGTTCATGCTGATTTTCATCAACACTCCATGTTCCTGGTCTTAGCTTCCAGCCTTGTCCTTCACCGGGCATGCCCTTTCCCTTTAGAGAGTTTATCTCTGAAGCTTTCTCTGACCACTTCAGTTATTGTATAGTTCAGTCTCCCTTTTTCTGAATTTCTTTGGCATGTTATAGTTTGTACTACATTATTTAGTACCTAATTACATAGTCTTTCATTGGGGCCCTGGTTGTTTCAACTATGATTTTTCACAAGTGAATTAGAATCTTCTTGAGGTTAAGGACCATAAGCATACAGAAGATACTCAGAAAATGCTTCTAGATTGATATGGAGAGCTGGAGCCAGTGTTTATTTTGAGAAATTTGGAATTCAGACATTTTATCCTTAGTCATTTGTGCATAAATGATGATTAAGTAAAGCAAGTGTGGCAAGACCTGTACCTGAAAAAATCTTCAAACCAACACTTGAAAAATTAGATTATGGTAAAATTTGGAAAATACTTTGGGAATTAATGTATTTTACAAAAATAGCTGTTACTAATAGTTCTATAGTTGAGAATTAATGAATTTCTGATTATTAAAATATTAGATATTGGTCATATTTGTATGTGACAGTTTATACTCAAAAATGAAATTTCTCGTGATAAACGAAATAGAGTTTTATATTCAGATCCAAAGGAATCTCCAAGGTACATATCTTACAAGCATATGTGTTAATCTATTAATAATATTAGCCTCTTCTTGACATTCCTATAATCAGTAGTTTTAATTTTCTTTACAGATGTTTCTGTACTTTGAAGATCATGGACTAGTGACATGCTCTGCTGATCATCTCATTATTTTGTGGAAAAATGGACAGCGAGAATCTGGATTGCGCAGTTTAAAATTATTTCAAAAATTAGAGGAGAACGGTGACCTGTACCTTGCTGTCTAGTTTAAGGAATTAGGAGTACTTGTGCATGAACCTTGAACATCACATACAGGGTAATATTCTGAAAACCATAAATATATCAATCACTTAAATTTGTAATTTTTTTTTTATTAGTCTATAGAATTCTACATGTTTGAAGTCTTTTTTTGTGGGCCTATAAACAAGGAACAAGTTGCTTCTCAGGTATTAGTACATCCTCCAGAGAACATACTGCAAGTTTTCCATTGGACTTTGTGCTGCTGTGGAAGTGACAGGCGTTGTGTTTTGAGCTTCTTTGAACTGAGACCCTTTGTGAAGAGGTAGAAATAGAGGTAAGAGTAAAGTTGTGGTATTCATTAGAAGTTTTTTTTTATTCTTTGATTTTTCTTAGAGTCCGTTTAAGAATTCTCGTGGTAAGTTTTAAAATATCCTTTCTTGTACAGATTTCCTTGGTCTTTGGTAACTGTCAGTATTTTATAGTGTAAACTTGAATCTCTTAACCAAAAAATGAACTAAATATATGGTCTAAGTACAACAGTTCTTTTTGGTACCAACTAATTTGTTTAAATCATTTTTAAAAATTTTTAGTCCTAGTTACTAAAATCCCTATGAACTCAAATCAATAGGAATCTTATGAGAGTGCATTTTTTTCCCCAGTGTGAATTGGCTTGATCAGCTTAGCTATTGGCTAGATTGGTACTAGAGTATGCCAGGGCACAGTGTTTCCAAAGTCACGGGCTGAAGGTGCCTGATCCATCTGACCATTGACTCAAATATGAAATGCTTGAGAAAGGCTTCACTTATGTAGTTCCTTGCAGTGCCCAGTAAAACACTATAACTGGCCTTATAAGAATCAACTTCTTCCAAACTCCTGTTAATGTTGATATTTTGACCTCCTGCTAAATCACAAATGTTCTTAAGGGCATCTGTAATGGTGAATCCTTTCCAGAAGCTTTTCAATTTACTTTACCCAGATCCAGAAGAATCACTACTTCTGGCAGTTATAGCCTTATAAAATGTATTTCTTAAATATTAATAGTAAGACTTGAAAGTTGAAATTACTCCTGACCATGGGCTGTAGAATGGATGTTGTGTTAACAAGCATGAAAACAACAATTTCCTTGCATATCTTCATCAGAGCTCTTGGGTACGCAGGTGCATTGTCAATGAGCAGTATTAATTTGAAAGGAATCTTTTTCTGAGTAGTAGGTCTCAACAGTGGGCTTCAAATATTCCATAAACCATGCTGTAAACAGATGTGCTGACATCCAGGCTTTGTTTTTCCATTTATAGAGCACAAAGTAAACATAGCATAATTCTTAAGAGCCCTTGGATTTTCTGAATGGTACATGAGCATTGCTTCAACTTAAGGTCACCAGCTGCATTAGCCCTTAACCAAGAGGATTAGTCTGTCCTTTGAAGCTAAGAGCCAGGCATTGACTTCTCCTCTCTAGCTATGAAAGTCCTGGATGGCATCTTCTTCCAACAGAAGGTGGTTTTGTCTTCATGGAAAATCAGTTGTTTAATCTAGTTAATCTCATCAGTTATCTTAGCTTGATTTTCTAGGTAACTTGCTAATTCCCCTTGCACTTTCAAGTTATAGAGATGGTGTCTTTCCTTAAACCTCATGAACCAACAATCTCTGCTTGCTTCAAATTTTTCTTAAGCTTCCTTACCTCTGAGTCTTCAAAGAATTGAAGAGATTAGGCTTTGGTTTAAGAGAATGTTGGGGCTGGTTCGATCTTCTATCCAGACCACTCAAACTTTCCCCATATCAGCAATAAGGCTGTTTTGCTTTCTTATCATTTGTGTGTTCACTTGAGTAACACTTTCAACTTCCTTTAAGAACTTTTCCTTTGCATTCACAACTTGGTTGGCTGGCGCAAGAGGCCTAGCTTTCAGCTTATCTTGGCTTTCACCATGCCTTCCTCACTAAGTTTAATCATTTCTAGCTTTTGATTTAAAGTGAGAGATATGCAGTTCTTCTTTCACTTGCACACTTAGTGGTCACTGTAGGGTTATTAACTGGAATAATTTCAATATTGTTATGTCTCAGGGAATAGAGAAACCCAAGGAGAGGGAGAGAGACCGGTCAGTGGAGCAGTCAGAACACAGACAACATTTATCAGATAAGTTTACCATCTTAAACAAGCGTAGTTTGTGGCACCCCAAAATAATTACAATGGTAACAAAGATCACAGATCACCACAACAGATATAATGAAAACATTTGAAATATTGCAAGAATTACCAAAATGTGACACAGATACTAAGCGAGCACATGCTGTTGGAAAAATGGCACCAGAGACTTACTTGATACAGGGCTGCCACAAACTTTAAATTTGTAAAAAAAAAAAAATGGAGTATCTGCAAAGTGCAATAAAATGAGGTATGCTGGTATTCTAGTTAGTTTTCTGCCACAAGAAACTATCAATGTCCAGGGGGCAGCCTCCAACCCATTCAGTGGACTTGATGGCTTTTTTTTTCATGCATGCCCCCTAAGGTCAGAGAGATGGAGGATAATGGCATGATGAGAGATTCTGGAAGGGACTCAAACATGCTGGTTGGTCAGTAGTTTCATTAGATTTCTGCCAAAAGTTGAACTTTGAATTTAGAAGAAGAACATTCTGTAGTGTAACAATGTGTACAAATTCCTTGTCATTTTTATTTAAAAATACCTTTATTACCTCAGTGCCTGGCTGTATTCACATAATGCAAAGCATTGAGTAATCCCTTCCATTTATCTTTCTCGAATTGAGTAGGGTTCTGATTGAACTGATGGGCTTATTCTTTGCCCAGAAGCCTAACTAGTCCTCACTCTGAGGGCAAGCAAATGTGGAAATCTCAAATTAGAACTAAAAAATGACTTCGTGAAATTATAGGGTCATTGTGGTCCAACTAACAATGTGACTTCTCTTTGGTGTTGTATTTTTCTAAATTAATGTGGCTCCCTTCAACACATGGTGTTTAGTAAATAACTCAGTATAAGAGGCAGTTGTAATAGTTTATATTATATAAAAACTGTGTGACACACATACCATCTGAAAGCCTGTATTTCTAACAAATTGACTCTATGGAAGAATATACTAGTTAGCAACTCAGAAGATTATACTAGATTATACCAATAAAGAACAAATGCACTGAAGCTTTAGTACCTGGCTTTCTTAAAGCATTTAACATTCACACGTTAATATTAAAGTTTGAAGTTAACATGAAATTAACTTGACATAACACTGAGTAAGCTGTAATGTTTCATATAGAAAATGTCAGACACCTGATAAATGTTACTTACCAAATGGCACTGAAAGTGAGATGATCAGAAAAAGATTGTCCTTGCCTCAAGCCAGCTTCTGAAGCCTAGACAAATGATCTAGCTCCTTAATAAGGGATTCTGGCATCCTGATTTTAATGTGTTCTGAAAACAAAGTGTGTGACTCATGAAATAAAGGACACTAAACCAAAAATTTGAAATTATGAAAAATTTAGGCCAAAGAGGTAAAATAAAAACAGTTGCTAGGAATGAAAAATGGCTGTAAGAATTTAGTTACAAGTACTTCACAAAAACATTTCATCACATTTACATAATACAGCATTACAATGCAAAGCTGGCTGCCGTCCTGACCAAACATGTTTTCTTATCTAACAAAAATAATTTAGATACATTTCTTTGTATGGAATTGTCATATGTTTCCATTTTTGGTACAAAACATAGAAAAAAACATTGGCACATTATGTAGTGATAAGTCATTTTTTTCTCCCCATGTACTAGTTCCAAGTATTCTGCATTCCAGTTTTTATTTGGAAAAAAGTAATTACTGATTCAATTAATTCAGTCTCTCTTTAGACTTCTTAAAAATGCAGCATGGAGTACAGAGGAAGAAAAACAAAGATATTTTGTTTACTGAGTTTCTAATATTTATAATACATAGAGAAGGGTTGGCTGGTAAGAGAGAAAGGAAAATCTCAAGTCTGACTTTATGCAGATCACAGAAAGTTGTGAAAAGAGCTGTAGAAAAATATGCACTTGTGCTTTAGAAGCTTTTAGCATACAATTAATAGCTTAAAATAGTATTTACTGCCTCCCCATATGCCTATTTTCTGATGTATTTACACATCATGCGATTTTTTCTTTTACATCATTAAAGCAGATGGCATGATCTCAAATATAGATAGGTTAAAAATATCTGAACCTTGAAACTTCCCCTATCCCCTCCCCAAATGTATAGGTGGTGCACAGCACAACATACTCCATGGGCTTATGCCCAGAAAATTTAGAGTTTAATAAAAAATTTAAACAGTAAATGTATATAAATTTTTTTAAAAAAAATCTTGTCGAAGGGCATTCAGATTTAATGGCTTTTATAGAATACTCCGTATAGTGTCTTGTGGCTGTCTCTGAGAGCCAGAAGTAAGGGACACTCATGGATTGCCCCCAAATGAGATGCCACCCCCTCCCCCATCATGGATAGCTTTCTGTTAAGATGAATCCCTTTTACATGAAAAGGACTACACAGGGTGCTGCTACCAGGCTAGAGAGGGCACTCATTTACTTGGGAGTTGCACCAGCGACCAAAGAACCACCTAGCCATGGAGGCTGTGAAGCTAACTAGTTTATCAATAATTTGGTCCTAGTTGTTTTGCTCATTTTATGTAGTTTTTTTTCTTAGATATATCTTTTCAGATAAGCTTCTTATGAATCCTTCAGACCAATGCTCTTGAGGAAGATAGTCAAGCTCAACAGTGGTGGTGAGAGATGAGCTGAACACTAGCTAAGCTACTTAGTCACCATCCAGGGAGATGAGCTCACGGGCACCAAGTCCTTGCTTCTTGTGTCCTGCCAGTTACAGTGAATCAGCTTCATGGTTTGACAAGGGCACAGAGGATGACAGCAGAGCAAAGGCATTTGCCAAGTATTTGTTCTGTCACTAAGTGATTGTTCCAAAGAACGTTTTTTTTCATGTAATGTAACTTTCTAATAATGAAATTTGGGGACTTGAATGATTCAAGGTCAAATATTAAACATTAGCTCCTTCACCTATACCTGTCATTGTCATATAAAGGAAAGCCTCTTGTTTACACTACTGTGATTCACAGTGCCCTTTGTAGATCAAGAGGTCCCCTTCTCTGGCTTGGCTTTAGCTTTCGGATGGAAGCCTCAAACTTTTGCACTTTAGGTCATCTAATGTCTTCCAGTGTTTGTAGTTATCAGCCAGATGTTGCATCAGGGCTGGCAGATGTGCAAAGGCTGCAAGGACAGAAAAGAATTAAAAGAAACTTGTTAAATTAAGTTATACCCCAGGAGCATTTGTTAAGGCTGGGGCTCTCTGGGAGAAGTCTAAGATCAGAATTGGAGTACCCTAGGTCAGGCCTTAGGCTGTAAGTGAACACACAAGCATGAGGACAATTCATTAAGCACTAGTTTCTGAAATACAGGTCCTTTTAATTAAAAATTCAAAAGCTATTGTATCTTCTGTTGGAAAAGTGGAAATAAAAATAAAAGCTGTTTATCAGTGACATTATCAGAAGAACCTGCTCTGTGATTTAGAGCAGACTCAATACATTTTGCATTCTTTCTAGAATTTCCTCCAATGATAGAATAAAACTGCTATAAGCTTTGGAAACATGTCCTTTGAAGAGGAAAGGACTTGTTTAGCCAGTTATCATCCATTAAGTCTTCTGTACACAAGGTTCTGGGCCAGGTGCTGGGGACACAAAAAGTACACATGAGCCCCACCCTACCTAGCCACAAACAGCTGACAGCTAACTTTTTAAAAATAATACTTCATTTGCTTTTAGGCCCAGCCTATGTCATTAAAGGTAATCATCATAAAGCATAACAAAACATTCTTTGTGGATGACAAAATAAAACAGTAACTGTCTTACCATCCCAAGCATCAAACATGTCGGTTATGAAGTAGTCAATGAAGGAGATCTGGGACTTGGGGATGCTGCAGGTATTCCGGTCGAACACTGGCATCACCACAGGTAGCCCCTGTCTCTTCTCTTCATCAGTCTGTAAGAAAAAACCACCACCACACAGGGCTGAAGGGCACATGAGACACTTTCATAGTAACATCTTGTTTCTTAGAACAACTCTGTGACAATGGGTCATTATCCAATTTTACAATTGAAGAACTAGGCTCAGGAAGGTCCTGAGACCTAAGTTAACCACCGCAGGTCTGACTTTCAAGTCTCTTACATTTTATGCTATACCATAGCCCCTTCTGACGCATTGATCTCAGGGTATTTAGCCCTTCCTCTGTGATCTGTTTTTATTATTGTAAGGTCAAAAATTATTTTCAAAGTCATACCAATACAACTTCTCATATCAACCAATACTAACTGATGTTTACACTGAGGGTGCAGAAGCAATAGTGGGAAAAACTGCTAATGCCTTAGCATGACTCAAGAAACTAGCACCAAACTCTTAATAGTAATAGTCATTGTATTATTCACTGCCCTAGGTTTGCAGTTTTAAAAAGTTTCACTTAGGAATTAGCTCTTTGAAGCAGTAAGAATTATTAATTTTATTAGGTCTTGACCTTTGAGTGTCTTTAATATTCTGTGTGACAAAATGGGAAGTACACATAAAGCACTTGTGCTGCATACCAAAGTGATGGTTGTCTTGAGAAAAAACACTTATGCAATTGAGTTGTGAGGTGAACTAGCTGCTTTTTCCATGGAGCTCTATTTTTACTCAAAAGAATGTCAGACAAACTATTGTTCAGATTTTGGAATTAGGCATGCAGCTCTCTCAAGGTGTGTGGAAGTCTGAGTATTAGGCACATTAAAGTGTATATTCATACGTGTAAGGCCATAATTCATTGAGCTGAATATTAAGATCCACATTTCCTGGTGGGGTGCTGAGCCAGAAGCCAGCTAATCAGAAGCCTCATTTGTAACATTTCTGCTTTTTAGGTCATACTGGCCTGTGAACACTAGTACATTCCTCTTTGGGAGAAGGACACCTAAATAAGAAGCTTGCATCAAAGAACTTAAAAGTGCTTCTTTCTCACTCTCCATTCACGCGCTTTGAGAGTAACTGGGAGTAGGCCTTCGCGTCCTCTCCGTGGGTCCTGGGAAGGCCATTAGTGGCCTCCTGCCAGCTCCTGGCTCAGCTTGCTCATTTCAGCTCAGTCGATCAAGCAGCCTTAAAATACCCACTGGGGTTCAAGGAGTAGTTTGGTTTTTTCCCCCCTATTCTCTCTAGCAAGCTCAGAACTGCCTGTCCTACTTTCCTTCAGTTCAGGGGTTCTCTTCATAGCCTGGAAAGCTGCAGTTAATTTACTAGGTCCTTTGCTGGCCATTCTTCCTCCCAGCCCTCCTTGACGCCAGCAGCTATTCTTTATCCTGCCTCAGTGGTACATTTCAGCCATACAGACGCCCCCACGCCCACTCTGGTCAAGCACACTACTTGTGGCTACTTGTCTCTCTGTCACACACACATACACATGGTCCTTAGAGCCTTTCCTCTAGAAATAGGGCTCTATTTAAAATATCATCTTACATCTGTTTTCTAGATTTTTCTCCGTTAACTCCTCTTTATACTGCCACAGTTAAAGCAGTTCTCCTTATATAAAAATTTTATTTTCCCTCCTTAATTTTGCTCATAATGCTTTGTTCTCCCAGAAAGTCTTTTCCTATTTCCGTATTTCTAAAGCTCCCTTTTATCTAGGAAAAAAAACCTCTCTGAGCTCCCATAGCACTTATAACATATACTTCCTCTAGGTATACTTTTATTTATAATTTATATTTTTTTAAAAATAGGGACTCACTCTGTCACCCAGGCTAGAATGCAGTGGCCAGATCACAGCTCATCATAGCCTGGAAGTCCTGGCCTCAAGTGATCCTCCTGCCTTGGCTTCCAAAAGTGCTGGGATTCAAGGCGTGATCCCAGCCTAGGTGTACTTTTCATTTTTTAACCAACATGTGGACCTACCTACATCTTTCTACCCCCACCCTCCGCCCTGGGATTGTGAGCTACTCGTGGCAGCAAAGTATCTTAACTCATGCTTGTGTTCCCCCAGTGCATGAATGAAGGATTTCCCAGTTTTTGTGGAAGTTCAGGATCCAACAGTTTGAGGAAGAAAAGTCCCCCTTCTCCTAGGGAGACTTCAGTTAGTGATCAGCCACACCACTCAGTCCCTCCTCTGCGGGAAACCGTAGAGGAGTAGTTAACAACTGATACAAAGTTACTCAGCTGGAGAATCCCTAGAGTTCTGTGATCCTGGGGCCCATTCCCAGAGGGAAGCAGAGCATCCCTAGGGAGAACACACCTGTGCAAAATACTCCTCGGAGATCCTCCCAGCCCATTCGATGCACAGGTCCAAGGGGCGGCATGGGTTGGCCACGTCAGCACACTTAATCATCATGCGTTTGATCAGAAGTTGGTTTTCAGGAAAGTTCTTCCCGGTAGGGTTGCATTCACAGTCGCTGCCCTCAATCTGGAAAATGGATGGTCAGATCCACGGTTGGTTCAAGACGACAGTGAAGCCCACAAGGGCTGGCTCATCAGGCATAAGCTGGCAACCACCCAGGCACACTTAGGCATGAATGGGACTCAGCAAAGGAGGCTTTTCCTGTCCCTAATTCCATGTATTATGTGCTGATACAGTCTTTACGAAAGCCAACTTAAGCAATACAGAGTTTGAAGGGTAAAGTCCCAGTCGCCCATCCACCCTCACTTCCATTTCTTCCCCAGAGGTAACTGCTATAGCAGTTTGTGTTTTGAGAAGTTTGGTATGTCATCTTACACAAGGAGGGATTTTCTCCCAGTTTTATAGAAAATGTGTAAAAGCAGAGCGTTCAGTTACTTTAATATATTAAAGGTGGGAAAATAGCACATACGTGTGACCCTTCAATTATTTCTTGATTTATTTCTACTTATTATACCTACTCTCTTTCCTGTGACCTGTCCCACTCCTACTCACTCACTCCCTCCCACTTTGTGTTTTTTAAGGCACATGTCCACTCCTGTGTTTTGGCAGTTCTTCCAACTGGATGGTAGGGAGTGTGAGCCATGTAGGTCTGGGACACTTGGATTAGGAAGTGGGCTAGGTGGGAGGTGTGTTCAGCCAGCAGTCACAGGCCACTTACATAGAACGTGGAAGATGGTGATTCTGCACTTTTAAATACACCATCGAATTGACTATGTGAAAAAAGTTAGCTCTCCAGAGCTCTGCCAAGCTGAAAGACTGCATGAAATTTAGGGGGTTTTGTTTTGTTTTGAGGCTAGACCTGTTTAGACCATCAATGGGCAGAATATGTTCTGAAGGTGGTTTTGATTTCCTACCATTGGGAAGATACTGCCTATTGTAGATACTTCAGTAAACAGTAAATCTCAACACAGAGTTGGAGGCTTACATGGACAGATGACCTTCCCAATTCTAAATTCCATGATTCTGTATGTTTCCCTTTTCAGTCCCCAGATCCTTGCTCCCATAAATCCTCTGTGCAAGGAGAGGGCCCTGGCATTCTCCTGTGGAATCCCTGGGGATGGGGTGGACACTTTCCCTCCATCCAGGCTAGTCATGTGATGGTCCTGCACAGACAGTCTCCTTACTGGTCAGGCTACTTTTTATAATTTTTTTTTTTTTTTTTTGAGACAGAGTCTCACTGTGTTGCCCGGGCTAGAGTACCTTGGCGTCAGCCTAGCTCACAGCAACCTCCAACTCCTGGGCTCAAGCGATCCTCCTGTGATCAGGCTACTTTTAAGACAACCATTCATTATCCATCCACTCCTCCAATCTCTTCTGCTCAGCAGAAATGAGCAGACAGCTTTTCTGCCTTTATGAGGCTATTCATAGGTTCATGGTTTCAAAGGACAGTTGATCTCATTTTAAACAAAAGAGATATGAACCTTCCATCCCATGTTCCTAAAACTCAAATTGGTAAGGACCTTAAGGCATGTCCAAGGTACATCAGTAAGTTTTAAAAAATGAAAAACAACTTACGCTTTTGCTTTCTAGTCACTTCAAATATTACTATAGTCTTCAGGTACTGGCACACTTTTAATGTGAAGCAGCAAGACCATGCTTTGTTCTTTAAAATACTCTCCAACTTTGAGGTCTCCCAAGAACTCAAAGAACAGAGGATTAGAAAGGGCTTGGGATTCCCTAACATACCACCATTTATGTCAGTCTTTGCCCATCTGCAGGCTCCTTCCCTCATATTCTGTGGGCCACCCAGCTCTTTTTGTCACTATTAGCTTTTTCCTCAGCACCTTTCTTTCAAGGAGCTCTGAGTTCCTGTGGACACTGTCAATTTATTCTAATCCCCAAGGAAAACAGTGGCCAGTACTTTCAGCCCCTTACCAACTCCTCCAAGCAAATAGTCACCGTGCATTCGCAAACGGGAGAGAAAATGCTTTGGGGCAGAGTTGGCTCTCATGGAAATGTACTCTGATGTAGCTTATGACATGGAAAATGCTCACCTCAGCTGCCAGTGGCTTGTTGATGCTATTCACAAATTTGTTCACATGTTCAAAGTGTTTTGTCATCTCTGTTGCCAAAACCATGTCAATAATAGCCTGGCGCAGTGTTCGATAATGGTTCCTAAAATAACCAGAAGACAAAGGGCCTTGTTCACATCGTGTCCAGAATTAGAACTGTTCTGCCACATTTCACCACACTTCCTACAACCTAGGAGGAAGCTGGGGCACAGAGTTAGGAAATGAGTGCAGGTCACAAAAGTTTACCTGCGTGTTCCTCCCAATGAGCCAGACTTGCGGACACTATTCCACTTCCCCCGATGACAGCTGACCCTTCCTGATATCATTTATGAATATTAAAAAAAGAAGACAGTACCTGTCACATATTTTAAAAGGTGATTCCCTTCTACCTTCCCTTGAGAACATCAAAGCAGTGAGGTAGAGGGAAATGACAGATCGATACAGCCACCAGATGAGTTGTCCCACTGCATTCTGTGCGGACACAGTGATGCCTACTGCAGAGAACTGTCATGATTTCTTTCAGTGATGGCATTGGAAGAAGATTTTCTTGTTGATAAGTAATTCTCTAGACTGCAGCTGAGAGAAGTTGTAATGGATAGAGCAATAATCCTGCCCCAAATTACTGTGCAATTCCTATCTTTTTCTAACTTTAAGAGCCAGAATAGGGGGACTGAATAAAATTGGCTGTTGAAAAGAATTTTTTCTGTGAAAGTTTAAAAACCAGTCATTAAACTGGAATAACTGGTCTCCAACTTTCCCCAGGTTTCTGGAGACCAACCTGATACATTCACATAGACAAGTGGTCCTGAGGCCCAAGTAAGCTCTGTGCTCTGTCCATTGCCCTCTCCCAGGTGTTTGTCACTAGCCTTGCTAGTGCTGTGTGGAAGTTCCCACACCCTGACAGTAGGGTTGCTGACAGGCAAGGGGAACTGCTCCCATCTGTTCACATTTGGCCAGCTCTCGCCAGAAGAGAACACAGGGCTGGGGGAACCTGCCCAGCCCTTTGGGCTCCAGCACCTCTGCTGGGACCTCCTCATGAGGTAGGATTTTAAGTGGCCCGAAATTGATCTGGGCAAAGACAAGAGAGGATACATTTCCCCTGAGTTACACAAAAGACAGGATGTCCTCCTGGGAGGGTAAAAATATCTGTTATACTTACTACTAATAAAATCAACATTGATGTAGTGCTTTTGGGTGTATAAAACATTTTCATGAACTCAGTGAAGACCAAAAGAGATTTTAAAACATGAAACACAACGAACCTGTCAATGTTCTTGAAAATGTTGCATTTGGTGTCCTTGACTGTGAGCTGGAAGGCCAGGGCCGTGTGGTGACTCTCCAAAACAGCAGTGTCATTATAGAGCACAGCAAGTTCACTGCCTGCGTTGCAGAGGAAAGAGTTGGTCCTTCCTGGGTGGTCCACGTCATGGACTGTGGCAGCAATCAGGGCTGCCACCTCATCCAGCTGATCAAGGCTTCCCTGGGATAAGGAGGAAGCAAGGCTGAGCATTACCCACTGGGTCTTGGAGACCTGCCTCCATTCCTGTCTGCCAGAAGGAGAGGGACCAGGGGATTTGGGCTTTTCGGAATGTTCCTTTAGCCTGCAGAGGCTTCTGACTTCCTACATGTTGAGAGGCAGTCTTGGACACGTTGCATTACCTTACTATGCTGTGTATTATCTGCTGCAGTATAGCAGCTACCTAAATTCTTTCTCCGGAGTTAACTCCAATTCTCCAGGAAGCAGCCATACAGGGCTCCTGAGTTGGCTGTTGTGTGGTATTGCTGTGACTCTCCAATAAGTGGACACAGCAGAAAGTAGCCTATGACCACAAATATTTTATTTGCCTACTTACGAAAAGATTTTGAGAGAGCTGGTAGCAAGTGGCATGGATATAATGAAGCTCTTCACTTGATGGTGAAATGATTAGAGCCAAGCAGTAAAACAGAGCCAAGCAGTAAAACAGGGCCAAGGGGAAGAAGAAGAATTTTACCAGGAAAACCAAGGCTAAGGGGAGAGGCTCTTACAGCTAAGCACAAATTTCAGCCCTGGGCTAGCAGGCAGCAAAGGCAAAAAGGGAAACCCTCTTTCTAAAGCTCTCTTTATGTGATTAAAGAACACAAACCAGAGCATCCAGGGATATAAATGTTTTTTGAGCTGGCAGCTTTAGGGGGAGGTTATCAAATGGGCTACTGTTATGTAAGAAATGCTGTACTGTGAATTCATTATTTATTGGGTGCCTACTGGGTACCAGTTATCATGCACAGTGCTGAAGCTACACTGATGATTTATACTGGCACAGTCTCTGCACTAATCGAGTTTATAATCTGGAGGGAGAGAGACAAATTTAAAAACACAAACAGAAGTAATTTATTGCAAGATGTGCTAAAAGGAAAGCACAGATGCTCTGGGAGTGCAACGATCTAGTTTAAGGCAGCACTGTTCATTAAGTTTTGTGTGATGACGTAAGTGTTTTATATTTATGCCATCCAATACAGGAACTCCTAGTCACATGTAGCTATTGGACACTTAAAAGTGTGGCCAGGGCAATTGAGCAACTGAATTTATTTTAGTTTTAATAGCCTTGTGTGGCTAATGACTATGATATTGGATAACACGGGCTCAGAGGGTGGTCAGGGATGTCTTCTCTAAGGAAGCGATTTCTATGCTGAGACTGAAGGTGCGCAGGAATTCGCCAAGTAACAAGTGGCAAGGGAGAGAATTCCAGGTAGAAAGAACAGCCTATATGAAGCTATGGAGGTCAGATGGGTTTATTCAGGAAACCTAAAGAACATCATTGTGGCTGAAGGATCGTGAGGGGGACAGTGGTCCCCAGGATAAGGCTGGAGGGGTCGGCATAGCTTTTGGTATTCCCAAAATTTGCTCTCTTAGGCTTATGGGAAGAAACATTGCTTCTCAGGTGAGGAACAAGCCTGAAGCACAGCTCTGTCCTGTAAGGACACCATGACTGGCCGTGGGGCTACACATGCTTATGTTGGCTTCGGGTTGTAGTGGGCTTCCCTGAAAGCTCTGTCCCCACCAGACGACAGCCATTTCCATTTTGAATCCTGATTCATGGGGCTGGTGAACGAGCCTGGGCCCCAGTCAACAGATCAGGTTTCCTGAGCAGGGACAGCAGCAGATGTTTTTTCAGTTCTTCTCAGATCAATTCTGCAGTGCCCAGGGCAAGCAAGCTTGCATGCCCCGTTTCACTGCTGGTCAGGAGAGGCCACAGGAATCTGCAGGTGCAGTCAGCTGTCTCCTGGCTCAGGACCCGGGACTACCCCAACTCGGGCTCCACCCACTGAGTACCCCTGTGCAGTGAGAACCCATGGGGCCCAACCTTTGAGCCTCAGCCAGTGCTCCTGTAGTATGTCCAATCCTGCTAGAGTCTGGGACCAGTTTACTTCTAAATTTTTCAGTGAAATAGATTCAAGTAACTGGGGTAGAAAATGCAAGTAGCACTAGATGAGATGTGCCTTTCCTTCTAGTTTACACTGATTTAAACCACGAACTCAATGATGATGGCACTTTTACAAAGGTACCAATAATGGGCCGTGCCCTGCAGTTTGGGTGGGCACTAACAGTGCAGTAAGAAATGGTGGGGAGGTAAGAAGAAGGCTGGGCTTGCCCACTAGCAGAGGAGAGAGGCAAGGCCCTACATGGGGAGGGATTGTCTGTGGAAGAAAACTCCACCAAACCCACAACTGGTGAAACTCCAAACCCTTGGAGGTGTAGACATCTCTGCATAGGTTTTTCCTTCTTAACCAGCAGTAGTAGATTGGGTTCACACTGAGGAGATTGGTCAGAATGAGTTCCATTCCAGATTTGCCTTTCAAACAGTTCCTTATTCAGAATGAACAGTCACTTAACCCCGAGAATAAGAACAGAATGCTGCCTATCCTGGCCTCTCCACTCCCAGTGGGTCCTGGGAATCAGGGAACATCGGAAAAGGATGGGGTCCCTAACAAACTGAAGGGGCCTATCACCTCTGGGCAGGTTATTTCTATGGCTGGGTTGAGCATGCTTTGAAACAGTGACATTAAGAATTTTAGCCTTATCACATAAAGAATGAGGGGTGACAGATGACATAAGGAAAAGGCAAGAAAGTATTTCCCTCGCTGTCTTCATCAGTGGTAGCAGGTCTGGTAGAAGATGCCGCAAGAATAAATCTTGCTGGAAGCATCTCATGGCAGACTCACCAGTGATCATGGGCTGGTGACTAAACCCCTGAGCACAGGAGCCCTCCAAGCCCAATGCTCTAAGGTTCCTCACAGCTCTAAATTTTCTGATTCTGTCAGGGACTGCCAGGGAGAAAATGTCTTTTGAATTGAAACATACTGTATCATGTCTAGTCTTAGGCTTGTTTCTATTGCTGTTATTTGAGAAATTCAATCAGACTGAATACACCAGCTGAACTCACAATCTGAGGAAAAATTTTTTGGAGGAGATGTAGAAGGGGGGTGGTAAAGTTACTAAGCATTACCTAATTTATCAAACAATCTATATTTTCCTAGCGTGGTTCTGCTTAAATGAGGTTCATCTGTAACTCAAGACTGCAGTGGCTATAGATCACTTTGCTCTTGGCATTAATGAGCTCGGTGCTAGTCTCAATTGGCAGAGTGTGACCTCAGCTGTATAGTATTTCATGCAGTGCAAAATGCAGGCGTGTGAACCTGCAGTAGCAATCCACAAGTGTTTTAGCTCCTCAAAAGTGTTACAAAAAACATAGGTTGATACCATTATTACTTTTTTAGAAAAGTAGAAGACAAAAATCTTCAATAGCATCCTTCTTGAACCACATTGTTTTCTTGCTGAAGTCTTTGGCAAACCTGAGAAATATCTCCACCTTACCACCTCCCGCCACCCCCATTTTGGTGGCATTTCTGCTCCTTCTACCACCTGTCCTACTATTGCTTTAAGTATCTAGGGTCTTAATCTCTCATCAACACCTGTTCTAAGAAAATCTAATATCAGAAATTTACAGATTCATGTGAATTTCAGTCTCTACAGGATACTTTGCCTAGGGGTATCTAAATTTTAAGCTTTAGTTCTAATTGTAGCAAAGGAATTTACAAGCTTCATTGTGCAAGTGAAGGTAGTTTGGAAGGAGGGGAGATGGGGATTTCTTGCCAGCTTTAAATAGGGCTGCCCCATGTAAAGGGCAGGGGCTGCCCTGCAAATCAGCACTCACACATGACAGTCTTGAACTCCTAAGTAAGACTAAGGAATGTAGAACTCTTTGAACTATGCAAAAGTCATTAATATGCAGATATACACATTAATACCTGCATAACACACACATATGTAAATCAGTGTAGAATGCCGAATGGCTCATTATCTGGATTGTAGTATACCAATGGCCAAGCCTGATACTAAAACTTAACCTCTAGACCTAGTAACCATTTGCTGTAATAATCAAGTTCTGTCCTACAACCCAGTAACACCAGAACTCCTAGTGAACATTTGGAGAATGGGTTCACGGATCAAGCCATGCATAAAGGAGGTCTCTGTCGTGGCATAAATTGTTATTTTAAGCATTTGGGGGAGAGGAGGGCTAGGAGAAAGGTCCATGTCTTTACAGCACCAAAATGACTGGTCAATTCTGGTAGCCAAAAAACTGTCAAATTGGTTGCAAAATAGCTTTTTGCCTGATGTAGTTACTAAGATCAAGTTCTTGGATCCCCAGTCCCAGCAGATAGGTAGATCATGATGTCAAAATTCTACCTTCACTCTTTCCTTTCCAAGGAAGAAAGCTGTGGCATGGAGGACATCCGCAGCATGGGTGGAGTTGTGGTAGGCATTGGAGGAGTGGTAGTTGGCTTCAATCACTTGGAGCCAGGCCCGAAGAGTGCTTTCAGAACAGTTTAAAAATTCACATACTCCAAACCGGGAGAAGACCTTTAAGCCCAGGTAAACCAATGGCCTGGAAAATAGGAAAACAAACCTTGGTTCATTGTGTTCACTGACCCAGAAACTATTTTCTTTGAGGATATTGGAAGATGGAGGCATTTTTCTTCTAATGATAGCTCTGCACACACAGCGTAAAAATGTCTCCTCCGAAAATTAATAGGAGGTAAAGCATCTCTTCCTCCCCAGCCTCCTCTTTGGAACTAAGAGCTTCATTGTAGTCAATGCAAATTATTTCTAGACTATCTCTAAGTCACAGGCCCTTCAGTGGCTCTGACAACCAAGTAAGGTTCCCTGGCTGTCCTCCATCTCCACTTCCACAGAAGCCCTGCACTTTATGTTCCCTAAGGAAGTTACTGTGCCTACAGACAAAAGGCAGGGCTTGGGTGGTCTCAGTAAAGTCCCATCATTTGGATTATGTTACTTATTTACTGGAGAGAATCATTCATATCTTACAGGCCAACACTGTTGGGAAAAAACAGCCTTGTCCCAGTATAGAAAAGGACGTTTATAGTTTCCTAATCTTTTCCCTGCCTACAGGCTAGATCAGAAGAAAAATCTATAGTGCTCTCAAATTCATTTCATGGGCTGCCGTCAATAAGTTTGGGGCTGAGATACTTAGAACTTGGGCTCAGTAGCACAAAGGAATGGCCTACGGATACTCGGGCTGATCCCACGGCTCACTAACATGTTGTTTCCATGAAGGAGCTCCCGAGGGACCACCGTCCCTCAGCCTGTTTGACATTCCTTCAACATGGCACAAAAGCTAGGACCTGTGAGGTCTCTTGTGGCAAGGACACACATCGCCCTCAAGGTTTCCAGCTGTGAAAGTCTTGAGCGTGGCCATCGTTCCTGTCCTGCCCGTAGCCAGACAAATCATATACCTTTTATGTGTAACTGCTTCCAATTCAAAGATGTTGAAGTCCCAACTTTCCTCATTGTCAAGTAATTGAGCGACACAAGGGGGAACATCGTTGATGGTTACGGGCATCGCAAGGTGACTGTGACTCTGGTGCACGTCTGAGCAAACAAAAGGGATGGGGGAGGCTGGTCAATTGTGGAATCTTGAGTGCCCTGGAGCATCTTTCATCATTTTTAGGGTTGCTACTAGAAAGAAAATCTTGAACTTTCAAGGGTAGGAAGATTTTCACTTCAAGGTTCTTCTCTTACACATTACTAAATTTCAAGACCCCCCCGGGAGGAAAATAACTCAGTTTCACCATCTGTTTAAATGTATAGAGATTTGCAATTCTTATTCTAATAGTGCTCAGAGAAGTAATTTTAATTAGGAGACCTAGTTTCAAGTGTAGACTACGGAGATGCTTAAATTCAAATGAGACCAAGTAACACCAAGGTCCTCCCAAAATAATACTTTCAACGCCGGGGATGGCACAGGCTAGAGACAGGTTATCAGCAACCAGTGGATAGATGAAAACTTACTCTTAGTAAACACATACTCGTTTCCTGACAACCTTCTCAAGCCATCCTGGAATAAAGAAAGATGCTGTTAGAAGCATGCTTTATATCCCATCACCATTCTCTCATTTCCTTCATTACACAAAGATTTCAATCCTGAATAACAATCGATCTGGAACTCCAAGTTGAAGCAGAGCTCAAAATTAAATCAGAACAGCTATAAAGACAGATTACCCCTTTCCATGGCTATCAGTCGCAGGAGATGGAGACTTGGGAATAAAGTGGACGTGACAGCATTCAGGACTCACACCTGAGCCATGGGTTGGCTCTGTTCTCATGAGGCATTTTGAAGCCACATAAGTGAAAGCATAGAAGTGATCTTGCTTTGAATACATGGAAATTTGAAGGGATCCCACTCACCCACAGAGTGACCGTTATTCTTGTGTTTTTAAAGGAGTTGAAGCCATGAACCGCATTTTGGGGATGATGTTTTAATGTAAAGTCTTAAAAAGGCTGGGCTAATTTTTGACTAACATCTCAAGTAATTTTTCTCCAACTATATTTTCTGTTTTGAAACGTGAGCATTCCTGCCAGCCCTTTTTTTTTTTTTTTTTTGAGACAGAGTCTCACTCTTTTGCCCGGGCTAGAGTGAGTGCCATGGCATCAGCCTAGCTCACAGCAACCTCAAACTCCTGGGCTCAAGCAATCCTCCTGCCTCAGCCTCCCAAGTAGCTGGGACTACAGGCATGCACCACCATGCCTGGCTAATTTTTTCTATATATTTTTAGTTGTCCAATTAATTTCTTTCTATTTTTGGTAGAGACGGGGTCTCGCTCTTGCTCAGGCTGGTCTCGAACTCCTGAGCTCAAACAATCCGCCCGCCTCGGCCTCCCAGAGAGCTAGGATTACAGGCGTGAGCCACCACGCCCAGCCTCTGCCAGCCTTTTAAAGAAAAGTTTCTAGATCTGAAGTCTTTGGAGAGGCAGCATAAGAGTAGATAGACAGGATTCCAATGTTGTGCCATTTACTGGCTCTTGAAACTTTTTAACTAGGTCCAAATGTTCCTGAATCTCAGTTTCCTTCCCTCTACCTTCTATCCCTGAGTACCTAATTATTTAGATCTTTGATTAAAGGTCATTTAGAATTGCTTACTTGTCATCCCCCAAAAATATATGCTAAGGTTTAAAGTAATGTTAATGAAGGGCTCCCCTGAAGTCACACCTTGGATCTTTAGGCTAAGAGCTCAATTTTAAAAATTAGATCAGTGGGTAAATAACAGTAGCCACAACTGTCCTGCCTCTGAGGAAGGTACCACAGGAGACTCCTGTTTTTCCTTGCCTTTCTCTTTCTCCACTTCCCCCCTAAAATGAGAATGAGGAGGAATACTGGTTCTTCACAGCCTCCTCTGGAGAGGAAACCCAAGGTGGCCTGACAGCAGGGGTTGGGGAGGGCAGGCACACAGCTTGTTCCTGTAGCCAGATCCCCCTGCTGCAGGGCCGCCGTGGTGGCCGTCTCTTGCTGGACCCTTGCATGCTCTCTAGAGGCTGCGGTCTGCACTGCATCGGATGGGGCGACCAAGGCCAGCCCAGCGGCAGGAAAGGCACAGGAGGGTCACTCAAGTACAGGCCAAGAATGGACCAGAAAGCAAGTCACCACTCAGCATTTGGTGGCAGGGTTAGACAGAAACCTTCAAAGTAAAACTCTTGGACTTTGTTTTTCTCCTAAAGAATTCTTCAAGCGTCAGCCTCTGATGAGGAGCTCAATTAAATAATTTGACTTTTCTGCTTTTTCTTTACTTGCTGATAGAGATGATGATTATAGCCAAACAGATCACAGCAAAACACCGGAATAGGATGGGTCCCTAGAAGTCAGCTACTCTTGGTGGTGCAAATGGTGCTTCTTGCTGTGTGGCAGGGGTTGGCTGCTCCTCTCCTTCCCCTCCCTGAGCCAGAACAGCTCCACTCTGCTTTCACCTGATTAGAAAGGCAATTTCCATATAAACTGTTATTTAAAGAAAGGATTTATAGCTAAGATTTTGGAAACTGCTGCAGTCTAAGTACAAACCCTTTCATTACATAGAGAGGCTGAGGTCCAAGGAAACGTAGCTGTGATCCTCAATCAAATTGCACCTGATGGAGGGAAGAGGCAGCAGAGAGGGCCCACGGGAGCCCGTCCCGCACAGTTGGCCCTCTGTCAGCTGCCACGCTCTCCTTACGGGAATAGGGTTCTCGGCAACTGGTCAGCCAGCCCCGTGGAAGAAAGATAAAGGCAACAATGACTTGAACACCACCATGCACGTGACACGTAGGTTTCGATGCAGTTGCTTCTCATTATGCTGTTAGCCTAGACCACGGTCATGCCTGCACCTATGGGTGGCTGTTCACACCCGAGCCGCGCTTGAGAGTGCGTTTACTTCCAGTTTCACCTCACCACTCACCGTCATCAGGCCTCCAACGAGGTCACTGGTGTGAGGATCTTCCTCCTTGGTACCCAGCTGAGGGGAGTATAGTTCTGTGGTCCGTAAGATCTCTAGAACTCTATCCAAGGCTTCTGCTACCGTGACTGGGCTGTTTTCTTGGGCTGCGTTGATTATATTTATAACCTAAGGAAGCAAAAAAAGAACAAATTTGAGAACATTAGGATTCTACTTCCCAAAAGTCATGTATATGCCCAGAATCCAAAAGAAATCAGCTGGTGACACGTCTTACTGTTCTAAATGACCAGTGCTTAGCGGCACTGCCCCCTCTTCCTGAAGCATGCTTTGCGCCCCACGCCATTGCTGGTGTTCTCCTACCCCAGTGACTACATTTCCTCAGGCTCCTTTGCTGACCCTTCTCCTCTAGCTCTCTTCTACAGGCTGGAATTCCTCAGAGATCAGTGCTGGGCCTCTCTCTCGCTTTATAGTCCTTTTGGGAATGATGTTTCATTTCCATGACTTTGGACACATGAGCCACAGCCAAGGCTGCGGCTCTCTGACTAACCTCCCAGCCCTCAACTCCCGTTGCCCCCAGGCTTGGAAATTCAACTGCCTACCTGACGTATCTGCTGGACTATCTTACACTCTTAAACTCATGGTCTTGTTCCCCTTTCCCCATAACAAGCACACAAACACAACAACAAAATCAAAGACAAAAGCTGTTCTCCGTCCCTGGTTTCCACGCTGCAGTAAGCAGCAGTTCTGTACACCTCAGGCGCAAACCAAAACCCTGCGAGGCCCTGCTTGACATACCACTTCCCTCTTTCCTCTCCCCGCCCTGACAATGTAATTCTCTACCAAGTCCAGCTGGTGCTACCCCCAAATGTTTCTTGATCGATGCATTTCTCTCCACCTCCACTGCTATAATTCTAGCCCAGCTACCACCATTTCTCTTCTGGAATTCGAAAACAGCCCCTAATTGGCCTCACCTCTTGCACTCTTGCCACCTCCAATCCATTCTCTGCCTAGTGGCTGAGTGTTCAACACACACACCTAAACACATCACCGCCCCACCTTCACCTCTTCAGTGGTTTCTGCTGCACATAAATGAAGCTACGAACTCCTATTACAGCTCAACTGACCAGAACAAGCTGCGCCCTGCCCAGCCTCCGGCATCATCCTCTCTCCTCTGCTTGCCAAGCTCCAGCCACCCTGACTTTCTTTCAGCTCCTCAAATGCTCCAATCCCCTTTTTCCCCACCTTGGTGCTTTTTCCTTTGTCATTCCTGCTGCCTGGACTCCTCTTCTCTCCCCTTTTCTCCTGACACCTCACACTTCAAGTCTTGCCTAAAACGTTACTTCCTCCACTGAGGCCTTCCCTGACCACCCCTCTCGGCACCCAGTCTGCATTAGGGCCCTACTCTGATTTTCTCCCATAGATCCCTGTTTGCCTTCATAGCCCCGACTGTAAAATAACACCTTATAAATAGGTGTTATTTTATTTAATATCTGTTTCCTCCACTAGACTGTGAACTCCATGATAGCACAGAATGTATCTCTACAGCACAGTCCAGTGCCGGGTGACCCAGACTGCAGGGTGGAGGCAGCGGCTGCCACTCACCTTTGTGATGGGAGCCTCGATGGTCATGGAGTGGATCCTGGCCATGGACGGATAGCGACGATTCTGTAGGCTTGGTGCTGGAGAGAGGCAAGAAAGTTGTGTCCGGTTCTGGCGGCTCAGCTTGGCTGAGCGCCACAAAGGAGTCCCTTCCCACACTGGGAGCCTAATTCTCACAGGACTACCCTGCCCCCGAAAAGCAATGAATTTACCCACGTTTAATTCTGAAAAGGCTGACAGCTCACCCACTATCTGCCTGAGTCTGGAAAGGTGGTCTGGTAGGAAGGCTCAATGAGTCCCAGGTCCACAAGAGGAATTTCAGGGAAGCTTGATGGGCTCCTAAGGCCTCATCCCAACAGCCTAATGATCCCCCAGGACTCTCTCCCCTAAGTCACTAAAGCCCACTCGGGCCATTCCATCACTTCCAGTCCTAGGCCGCTGGCTGCGTAACCAGATAGCTGTGCAGCCAGCATGGGAGGGAGGCTGGTTCCTGCTTAGGGTAGGGACTAGGACAGAGCCCACTCTCAGCGTGAATTAAGGCCGGTCACTTCCCTTTACTCCCCCTTCCCTCACCTTTAGGTTCTAACTCCCAGAAAGCCATTGTGGTTCTAGTTTTAATCTATAGAAAATTTCATTTAAAAATAATTTTTTAACAGGTAATGCTTACACTTGGTTTAAAATTAAAAAGGCACAAGCTTTACTTTAAAAGCACTGTTCTCGTCAGATCTTCCTACACTCCCTCTGAGGCAGGCAGGAGGAGTAGAACCCCCATTTCATAGATGGGACAACTTCACCATCGTCAGGGCCTGACCGCTGCCCAGCCACCTGTGGGGCCTTCTCCTGCCAGCAGCCTTCACAGATTCCTCCACACTCTTCAAGCTCCGCTTCGCCCATGCCGGGGAGATGCCAGTCCCCCTCAAGTTCTACTCCAAAAAATGAGTGAATCCAGTTCATTTCCCTCATCGTCCCCATCTAAAATGTTCTGTCTGTATCCTTAATCCATCTGAAGATATTTCAATTCATATTTTCTTTATATTTTTGGTCTCAATCCTTTGCATGCCCTGTGAATTATCCATCTTGGCCTCGAGCATCTCTGGTCCTTGCTATTTCAGCCACTGTCATACCCGGGCTTCCCACTGTGACCCGAGGGACTGGAAGGTCCTTCACTTGCCCTTTCCTTAAGTTCCCACTCTCCTCTCCTTTCTACCACAGGCACCGACCATCCCTCACGCCCCTAGAACCTGTCCTCCCATTTGCCAAATAAAAGCCAAATGCCTGAGTGTAATCTAAGGTCTGTTCTCAGCTATCAAGCTCTCTGATCTCTGTGGCATTAGCTGCTGGCCACCTCCCTTCTCCATACCCCCTTTGTTCTTGGTTCCTGTGACACTGGACTCACACAGCTCACTCGCAGCTCTCCGGTCCTCTTCGCTGCCCTATTTCCTCCGCCGCCCCTCTCACTGAGGATGTGCCCACAGGCTTGAGCTTGGATCCCCTGTTCCATTAGTGCACACATGTGTGCCCGTGCACCCATGAGAGATGTTCCTCTGCTCATGGCTTCATCTGTCACCTCCTGGACTCCCAAATCCACTTCTCTAGCCCTGAGTGCCTGTCTTGCATTTCAGGCATCTCCACTAAAACTCATCTTCTTCTTACCTCCTAACCTAGCCAAACCTAGAGACTTCCCTATTTTTGTCAATATTACTTAAAATTTTCCAGGCACCTAGGAATGAAATTTCGGAGTTGTCTTTGACTTTTCTGTCTCCCCACAAATCCGATTGGTTACTCAGGTCTATTGATTGAACTCAGAAAATGTTTTGCTAAATTCTGCCTCATATTCTCTGTGACATTTTAGTAAGGGAAAGTAAGTGCATGTAGCAGGTACACTGAAAACTGGGTTTATGTTGGGAGTTGGGAAGCCAGGATGCTGGCCTTGTTTCCCACACCTCCCCACCCCCCCACTAGCACCCAAGGATGACCTTGTCTAACTATCGAAACTGAGTTGCTTGGGTGGTTATGTGGCCCAGCACTTCAGGCCATCGAGGAACAAGCATGGAGTCACTTCAAAGAGAAGACAAGAGAGCATGAAAGAATTTAAAAGCTCTAAAGAATGTTCAGCTTACTGGGAAATCTTAACTTCATGGAGTTTAGACACTGAAGAATTTTTGAACACATTCCTCTGTCATTTTCTACATTTTAAAAAGGTCAAAGAAAACTGGAAACGTCTTACCATCACTGCTTCGAGATGATATCGATTTCACATCAATAGACTCTTTCCTCCTGTTCTTGTATCTGAATGAATGAGGCTCTAGGGGTTTCAGACGAGAAATGGAGGGTGATCAGTATTCAGTGTATTCACAGATGAAGCTCAGATGCATTTTTTTCCTTATTTTCTAAAGAAAACAAGGTTAATTTTCAAGCACTATAAAATAATTTTAAGAAACTGTAAACTACTTCCGAAATCATTAAGATGCACAACATTATCAGTCACATTAGTAGTCAAATGATGCCTTTTTCTTGTGGTGCCACATTACATCATGGCAACGAAGCTTATTATCAAGGGTTATTTAGTTCCACAAATAAAATGTCATTTTGAAAATAAACATTAAAACTTGAGGGAAAATTTTGGGGGGTTCATTTTGACTTGAAGGACAATGTATTCATTTGGGTGGGGAAGGCTCTTAGGGACCTTTATTGATATTTGAGGAACTCAAATACAAGTGAAATCCAGAGATTTTGAATTATTTGAGATAATAATTTGGAACAATTTTGGGCAGCTTCGAAAAGTCAGACCTCTAGATAGTCTTCTAGGTTCCCTCAAGGATGGATTTCATTAAATGATACATACTGCCCATCACAGGAAGGGAAGAGAAGGAGTTTTATAGTCCCAACGATTTCCAACAACTAAACCTTCACCCCTGTCCTTATTTTCTGAGGGGGCAAAAACATTTTTAAAAATTCTGTATAAGTCTTTGCAGACTTTGAATTTAACACTGATAGTGTGCTGTCATGTTAATATAAAAACTAACAAAAAATACATGCCACCAGTGAGCACCGAGGTATAAAAAATATCAAGACAGCAGTGTTGGCTTCAGAAACATGCATTTTCAGGGCATTTGCTTCTTGTGGGAATAACTCATAAGCAAAGAGAAATTTACCCATAATCCAGAATCACTCCTCACTGTGCCAAGAGGAGGCAGACACGCAAGTTCCAATAGGAAGAAGATATTTCTCAGACACAGATAAATGACCATATTCCAATAAGGAAAAAAAAGATGCAATAATGCTTCTTTAAGAATTGTCTAGTGACACCAAAAAAGGTACAAGAGAGTCTATAAAGTTGAGAGAACCAGCTCTAGAGCCAAAATGCCAAAATTCAAATTTCTACTCTGCCATCTAGCAGCTGTGTAACTTTGGGAACGTTACTCAACTTCTCTGTCTCAGTATCCACATCTGTAAAGGGGGGGTGGTGGTGTAATTATTAGCATCTCATTCACAGGCTGTTGTGATAAGTGAATGAGTTAATTCACATATAGCACTTACGACAGTGTCTGCCACATAGTAGGCACGTAGTACATGTTGGCTGTTATTAATTACACCTGTGTATTTACATATGTGTCTTTTTAGACACATGACCATGGTATATTTTCTACTTGCTGTTTTCACTTCATAATATGTCCTAGACACTTTCTTCATTACCTTTTTAACCATTTAGTGTCCTAAAAAATCTGAATTAAATAAAAAATGGTTAGTTCAATAACTAAATCTGAATTACATTTATACAGCATGAAGTGAAGGCAGAACTGCTATGAAGTTCATCTGAACACCACAACCATAGAGCCTTGTCTTAAATGATCTAACTTAAAATATTTACTATCCCTTTGCCTAATTTTTATCTTCTAGACTCTGCCTTAATAATTTTCCTACCTTGGTTATGAAGTTCAGTATTTCTTTATAAAGATACCTATAGATAGTAGTACTTTAAATGACATTGTTAGGATCATATGGCATTTTTCAAACCCTGAGAAACTAATGGTGGTCAATTGTAAGACGCTTGTTTTTAGCCTATTCAGGGACTTAATCTTATACGTTCCTAACATTTGTTTACCAAATAGTAAATTAAATCTAACTTAAAGATTTAAGATTAAATTCAAAATTAACAACCAAGAAAATTACTCAAAATGTAGTTCCTAACCAAAACTAAAAGTAGAGAAGTTAGCTTCAAGGCTGTTTTCCAGGCTGGCTGAATTCCAAATCATTCAATAGAAATTATTGAAAGATGAATGATGCGTATTTTTCCTGATTTTCTCTCATTTACAATTAAGAGAATCTATAGCAATAGAAATGATTAAAAGGTTGGAGAAATTATTCTTCAATAAAGGCTAAAGTCACTTAAATCAAAGAATCATTAGTCATTCTCTCAACAGATGCTTGTAGGATGAATAAAAAACTTAAACCAGAGAAAAGAAGGATAAAGGAGATTTAAGTAGCTGTACTCAGTGGCAAAAAGGAATACTGCATCACAACTATAAAAAAAAAAGCTACCACTTACTGAGCACCTACTATGTACCAGGCATTGTACTATATACTTTAAATATAATAATCTCATTTTATAATTATAACAACTCTGAAAGCTACATAATGCTATCCCCATTTTACTGATAAGGAATTTAAGCTTGGAGAGATTATGTAGATAGCCCAAGGTCAAAGAGCTAATAAATAGTGGAAACAATACTTTCCAAGATGGAATGGTTACAATTTATCTATCAGTGTTCTGTATTTAATGTCTATTATGTACAAGACAATGCTGGGCGCTGCAAAGGATATAAAAATGCTTATAACAATTTTTGCCACCCAGAAGCTCACAAGTTAGTTAAAATGATACCCTTACTCTAAGTGTTATAAGAAATTAGAGCATCTTCAGAAAATGGGAGGGAAGATACTAGTTAAATGCCAGCTACAGCTGGATATTATATATATTTTCTTCTTTAATCCTCATTAACAACGAGATGGGTGTTGTTAATTCATTTTACAAATGGAAAAACTGAAGCTCAGAAAGAGCAAATGCAATCTTTCTGAGTAGGCTGAATATGACCCATCCTAGAATCAAGAGGAGAGACTAAACAATGAGCCCAGGGGCTGACTTTATGCATCAGTGGCTGGTAAAACCACCAGGGCAGGGAATGTTACAATTCTTACAGGAACAAAAATCTGAAATCCCTGAGAGCAGACTGATTTTTTCCTCTAATGGTAGAGCATTCCAGACCTTTCCACATGTACAGGTCATCAGGTCCAGCCCCTCATTTTATAGAGGAGGAAACTGAGGGTCAAACCAAGCCTTGCCCAAGGCATGAGATGAGTGAATGGGGAACTGAAATCGGAACTTAGTGCTCTTGCTTCCCAAGCCAGGGCTACCCACATTTTCTAACTGTGTAGTCGGCTGTTACTGCAAATACAGGGAAGACTGGATATGGTTGAACCACTACCATATTCTCACCTGTGTCATATTCAACCACTGTCTCTCCTAGAATTTTGGGCCACTCTCTATTTTGGGTTTATCTATATGGTATTTAGCCAAGAAAAGAGAACAAAGATGGGAAAGGCATTTGGTAAATAAGGTTGCCATGAATGAAGATTCAAGGAAATTTTAAGGGATTTCTGCTTTTCTTTTGGCTCTCCAACCTTCAGGTATTAGCATTCGGATTTTAGCAATCCACCTTCTGTGGTGGTGAATGTCAATCTAGACCGCAGAGAAACTTACAGACTTGAACCCCCAAATGCCTCCTAAGTATATTAAAGTTAAATTGAAGTGTTCTCACCTGTCTGAGAATTGTCTCCTGAATCACGATGAACCTTGTGAATCTAAAGTTGTTCAAAAGTTTGGTAAAACAAGAGAAAGATTTTAAATATGGCATTTGCTATATTTCCCAAGCAATTTAGTTAAAAAGCTCTGAAGACTTCAAGAAAGCAAGAAGTTACACAGATAATATGAACAGATGAAAGACATACACCAAGTGATAACACTACAAATGCTCTATTAGACACTTACAGAATGTCTGAGCCTGAAAGCAGGAAGGTACCTATGGGACCTACTTTCTAAGCAGGACATCTGAATTGCCAGTCAGCTATTCTCACTTTGACAGTCTACAGAAATGCAGAAAAACAAAACTATAATGAAATTTATATTTTTATAAGGTTAACATATAACTTGTTTATGTTTTAGCTATGTTATAAAATTTTTCTCTAGTATAAAGGTCATCTGAATTTAAGCCTAGAAGTTTTTAAAGCCTTCCTACAAAGCTTTCCAAATGCTCAATTATAGAAAGAATCAATTTATAAAATGTTTCTTCACAATGAGATCTGAACTTTAAATGTAGTTTTGCACCTAGTTCTTTCTCATTATCAATCTTTTTTGTGCTAATGATTTTGTGCCAGTGCCCAATAAATATCTGTCAAGTGACAAAATGAAGTCTTTAACACCAGAAATAATAAGTATGCTTTCTTTGGAGTTCTGCATTTCTTGTGTTTATAACTGACACTGTTAGTGGGGCACATTTAGTTTTATCACACTTAGAATCATGCTGCTTCACTGCTAAATCCACCTACTTCCAGGTGCTCAGACCATTAAACCTTTGTAGCCACTCAATGAATGGGCCAAGTAAACTTGAAAAACAAGACAAGTGAGTGTGCAGGACTGTTCATGGAGGAAGATTAGGATGACTTAGCAACATCACTATAATAGCCAGAAATCCCATCTATATCAGACACAGGCAAAATGTTCCAGCTTGACTGAACCACTGAAAAATAATCATGTAAAACTGAAGTGTTAAAATAGGGTTTTCTATGGACTCTTCTACTCAGTCCATTCCACATAATTACAGAAACGATTACATGACCAACCTGTGTGATATCTTGATCATAATGTGACTAAGGGCTGTGACTCACTTACACCATAATTAGGGGACCCTTTTATTTCTTCTGTGAACAACTGTTTTATGTTTTCCTTCAGCGATAAAGACCATTTGCTATAAAGCTACTTACTGAGCTTAATGTGAATTTTTTATACTGTACCAAATGAATGGAACTTTGCCTTGCAAATTGTTCTCTCAATTAGCTTTAGCACAAAAATGAATGATTTTTAAATGCTTAGCTTTTTTATCTCTGCATCAAAATATGTCTCTCCTTTAAGAACAGAGTCCCATGGCTTCTCACATTATACCAAAGAAAAAAAACCAAAAAAACCTTTTCTTATCTTTCTTTGGCCCCCATGGGCCAGCCGATTGGCCTGAGGGGCCCCTGCGACTTCAGGGTGGGCTTGTGTTCTGTCTAGAGTGGAGACAGAGAACACACGAAGTCCAGTAAGTGAACAGCCCACCCTGCTTTGGGGTGGAAATGTGCCTCAGCCACTAGGTACAAGGCGGGGCAGGGATTCAGGTACCACTTCTATCTGCTGAGGTGGCTCTGGTCTGTGCTCTGCATGTGATATTGCATTTGGCACGTTCTGAGCTAACAGGCCACCCCAGATTGGCTCATCTGCCTCGGATGGGCTCTCTCCATCCTACTGCCAGCAACGCAGCATGGAGATACTCCTCGTTTTACAAGCAGAGATTCTTCAGGGCTGCATCAGCACCCGCTGCCGGGACCCTATCATGTGACGCAGGTCATGATACTCTGTACCAAGAGCATTGCCTGAAGACCTTTCTCCTATCACACCTGGGCAGAGTTGGATTTTTTTTTTGAAGTTTTCCAACTCCGATTACTTACACACCTCTTCCAAATACCCCATTTTACAACTAAGATTCACTTGGATGACAAAATTCTCTCAGATGTATAATTTTCTTCTAGAGGTCTAAACCCACAAGTCATTTAACACATTAACTGCCATGTGAGTTGTATTTAACTCACACTAGTTTTGAGCCTGGAGCCTCATGAAGCACATGTAACTCATGTCTCTTTACCTTGGGAGCCACGGGGTATGCAGGCAACTCATGTGCCATGCTGTAGCATACATGTTACATGTGATGGGTGGTCCCCTGCGCAAAACCCTGTAGTTGGTTCATGAAAATCTTACTTGTTGATGTTCTTATTGTTACAATTAATATTGATAATTTAATTGCATATAACTCACACACAGAAAACAATAAAAATAAATTTTTCACTAAATTAGAAAGGATTGTTTTATTTTCAAAGTTTTTATTCTATTTTCATAATAAAACCCCATGGCCCTGAGGAAAAAAAAATTTTTTTCTAGTGTGGCAGTCAATGTGTTAAACTCAATAGAAATTATCCCACTAAAATTATTCTTTTTGTAATATTCAGTTAAGTTCACTGGGAAAATAATTAGGGAGTGAGTGTTCTGTGATTTGTTCTCTACTGGGGCAGCCAGGAGGCCCGTGGGCTTGAGCACTGCCAGGCAGGAAGAGTGCTCAGCTTCGCCCCGTGGCAACGGCCGTCTCTTACAGTTCTTACAATGCCCTCGCACAAGTCGGGGTATCATCATTCCTTCTGACAGACGGGAAAGCTGAGGTTTAGAGAGGTTAAGTAATTTGCCCAAGTCACACAGCTAGTACGCACACCGATTTCAAACTGGCTCTAGAACCATTTGTCCTTTGTCCACTGCTGTCTACAGTGAGGCCCCAGAAGGGACTCCCAGGCCCAGGCTTGTCAAACTGGGGTTTAAGGAAGCATTCCCCTGGATGAGTGCAGGATATCTATTTGGAATATAATTTTCCTTGAAAATTTTAAGAAAGGTTTGAATTTCTATTATCAAAAGGTTTTGTCACATGCGAGTTAAAGCAAAGCAAAGAACCAGAATTCAATGTCCCCGAGCCAGTCAATCTCTCTGTAGGGTGGTATTTGTTTTTCCTTTTGTATTATAAAAGCTCAAAATGAAGAATATTTTCATGTACAGTAATGACCGGGAATTTTGATTTTGTGTGATACCAGGGAACCAAGAGGCTTCAGTGCTGCTGTTTCTGCAATGTGAATACTGCTGTCCTTGGCCTGTGAAGCTTTTGCTAGAGCTCAAAGCTGGGATTTCCCAGCAAGTCCTTGGAGGGTGTGACAGCTTGTTTCTGGGGAAAAAATCATTTCAAACCTTTAATTACCTAAAATACTACAGGTTGCCTCAAACTTTGCTGTCCTTGTGCTAAATGCTTTGTTTGTGGACACCCAATTATGCTTGGCTTTAAAAAGCACTAAGAATTCTGATTTGTGTATCTGTGTGCGCGTGCATGATTTCGTGGTCACTTTTCTCTTAAAGAATCACCATTTAAAAATCATATTTTCTCTGTATACCCACCAGAATGTCTAAAACTAAGAAGAAATTTTGTCAAGGATGTAGAACAACTGGAACTCTAATACACTGTTGGAATATAAAACTGTACAACCACTTTGAAAAAAGGCCTGTCAGTTTCTTATAAAATTAATCATACACCCCCATGCCCCATGACCCAACAGTTCCACTCCAAAGCATTTACCCAAGGTAAACAAAGAGATAGTCACAAAAAGACCTATCTAAGAAGTTCAAAGCAGCCCCAAACTAGAAACAGTCCTGGTGTCCATCGATAGGAATAGCAGATTCTCCATGCTGTGATAGATTGACGCAAAGGAGTATTTCGAAAAGGGAAAAGTTACTGATACATACAGTGTGGATGAAATTTTAAAAACATGAGTGAAAGAAGCCAAACACAAAAGAGTACACACTGTATAAAGCTCTACTTTATGGCTTAATGATTCAGAACAGTGGTTACTCCTGGGGCTGGGCAGGAGTGAAGGCAGGGAGAGACTGCACAGGGAATGAGGGGACTTCTGGGACGGTGAGGTCTGGTATCTTGATGGGGTTGGGGTTATAGCATTGCATGCATTTGTCAAAACTCAAGGAAGGCTGGACTTAAGATTTGTACATTTCACTGTATGTAACTCCTACCTTAAAAAAAAAAAAACCCTGAAAACAAATATTAAATTCTAATTAAAGATAGGCATGCTGAAGTGACAAAGGGTGAAATGTACTGATGTTAGCAACTTTTGATAGTTGGAAATCTTTCAAAAAACAGACGGGGGAGATTGGAGAAGATGGCGGACTAGAAACAACCTGCACACACTGCTCTCAAGGAGAGGACTGAAAGTTGCAGGCGGATGCCTACCAACAGATGGCTCTTCTTGGAAAGAGCATCATAAAACTCCAGAGAAGCAATGGGGGATATTCAGAGTAAAGGAGAAGGTGATGGGGTGATTCATTGAATGCGACTGAAGGGAACTGTGGGGAGGCACCCACACGTGGGGAAGGTCAGAAGGACAGAGCCCTAGGGCTCCATGCTCCCCGCACAGGCACTGTGCCCTGAGTTGTGAGGGAGCCCTCACCACCACTGTAGACCTCTGGACTGATCAACGAGCTGCTTGGAGTCTGCGTAGAGACATTACAGTAGAGAACGGGTGCAGCAGGGATTTGGTGGCTACTGATTTTGGGTTTTCACAGGTGACACCATCATGAGCTCTTAGGTGCATGGCACCAGGTCTACACAGGGCTCACCTTTCCAACAGCAGCCTTCACATAGCCCCTGCTAGGCTGGGGAGGAAGCAGGCTGAGTGGACGCTCCCCCATGCTGTGCCCTGTGCTGGATCCCAAGCACCTCTCCCCCACAACATGTGATCACAGGTGCCACAGACATCACTTGAGAAGACTTGTGGCTTACATCCACAGTCTCAGTGCCACCGGAGCAGCCCTGTACCCTTGTGGCTCCGCCTCCCTGGGCCTGGTATGCCAGAGCCACCTCCCACCCACGTGGCTCAACCTCTGCAGTTCCCGTGCTGCAATGTGACCCCACAGCCCTGCCTGCACCCTGAGGTCCAATGCTCTGGCA